TCTTCCATTCCCTGCTCCTCAGGGCTGGAGCCCAGCACCACAGACTGTGTTGTCTCACACCACACACACTTCTTCACTAAAAGGGCCGTCTGTCACGGCATCAGACAGGATGTTGCTCTCTGTGCCCCGTGCAGCTGAGACATGAGGCAGGGTGTCTCGGAGGGGAGGATGACCTGTGAGGAGCTGCACACACCCCCTCCTCTCTGGAGGTGAGGGCTCTGCTCATCGTGCTTTTGTAGATATCGATGGCGCTATCGATAGGAGGGAAAGCGCGGCTTTGAGTGTCTCTCGGTGTTGCTGCTCCCATGCACTTTAACTAACGATGATCCCACCGTCAGTTTTGTCGATTCAGAATTAATGATCGCGTCTCTTTGGGAAGATGAAGGCAGAGGCCGCAGTCTAGCTACCATGTTAGTCAGCCTGATTGGTGGGTGCAGCCTCAGAGAGGCCCCTGGGGGTTCTTGGGGCTGATGTCCTACCCTGAGGTAGCCCAGCAGGGGCAGGTTCAAGATATCTGTGTGTGTGTGTGTGTGTGTGTGTGTGTGTGTGTGTGTGTACATGTGACCCAGCCTTGACAGTACATGTGTACTGGGCTCTTCTTAAGTTCTGTGTATAGAATAATAAACTCCCTGGTGAGCCTCGTGGGGCGTCGTCCCCATCCATCATCAGGACTCGGTGGAACCCACAAGTCTTATTTTGGGAGCTTATTGTGCACACTGGAAAGGAGTACAGTCTCTTGAACAGACTCTTCGCTTTGTTAATTTGGATATTTTATGATGTCTTTGATTAATGTGTTTATTAACTGTCATTGTGACGGAAGCAGAAATTAGTAATCATGACCAGAGCAGAAATATTTCCAGCACGTAAGGATGATAAATGCTCCAATTACTCATAGGCTCCCTTGGGCTTTCTCTGTTCAGGCTCTCCCGGCTTCCAGCTGAGGTACATGGTGGATCCCGGGTTCCTGAAGCCAGGCGAGCAGCGCTGGTTCACCCACTACCTGGCTGCTCAGACGCTGCATGTCGACATCTGGGATGGAGACTCTCTGCTCCTCATTGGGTCTGCTGGCGTCCAGATGAAGGTAGCGGTCCACCGAAGGATGGGCAGGGCACTGCAGTGCTGTGGGACAAGGCGCCATATAGCCTGTCCCCAACGGTAGGGTCACAGCCCAGCACCGGGTTGTGCCAACTTTTTGTCCGCTAATGATGAGCAGTGCAGTGTTCTCTGCCCTCTGAGAGACAGCCTTCTCCATGGGGGCTGAATACTACAGCCATGTGTGTCTTGGTGAGCTTTTCTCCCACACTGACCTTCCAGGTAATGCCACCTTCTGACTCTTCCAAAACGATGGTGTAGGTTGTCTAAGTGCAGGTAATAAGTCGCCTGTCCTCTATGGTGCTCTTAGCCGGCCCCTCAGAGGGGGGAAATGACTGAGGTGTGTGGAGTTACCTGGTTCCTATCGGCAGTAATGCATTTCTTTTTCCCTTCCTATTCTGAGAATCGAACCCAGGGCCTTATACATGCCAGGCAAGCACTCTGCCGCTGAGCTACACCCAAGCCTCTGAATTGCTTGCTCTGATTTTAGTTAGAATCCTTCAGTTGTGTCTCCCACCCTCTCCCTGTGCAGACACTGAGATCCATCACTCTTCCCTGGGCTTTCTCCACACCTTCTTTCTCTCTGTGGTGAAGTGGACCCCAGAGGATCAGCTTAAGATCGCCATGAACATTCCCGGGCTGGCCTCAGCCCTGTGGCATCATGACAGATGCTGATCCCTCCTCGATCCCTGCCACATTGTCCATCAGGCTCCCTGCCTACCTTGTTCTCAGGTGATTGCTGGGCAGTGAGACCCGTGGATTCCAGTTGTCACCTCCTGT